TTTCATTTGTTGTAGATGTGTGTTAGAGAGGATGAGTCCCACCCCTGGTGTCCTACTCCCAATTAAGGGACCCAGAATGGAGTTAGAACTTGTGCAGAGCCATCACTCTATCCCTTGTGACCCCAGATCCCCCTGATGTGTTCCTCCAGGAGCTTCCCAAGCACATTAAGTTGTTCCTTTTGAGGAAGGTTTCTTTTTTTTTTAATTTAATTTTTTTTTTTCCCCCTCTGGTTTCATATCATTTAAAGGATTTGGATTATTGGGAAAAGCACACCTCGGAACGAGCTTTGCAGCATCACACGCTCGGCTCCCAGCACCCGATATTTGGAATTCAGTGTGGGATAGATAAGCTGAGCTTTGCTTTAATAAACCTCACGACTCCCAGAGTGTGAAACTCCTGGCAGTTTCTGACAGGGGTGCAAACTCCAGGCTGTTAGCTTATTAAAAGCAGGATTTGGTGGGTGCAGGAGGGGTCTCGTGAAAGAGCAGCCCTGATGGAGCAGGAGGGGGGGATCAGCAGATTTAGAGGTGGAACCATGTGCCCACTTGACTGGACAGTTGAGATAAATTGCTTAAAAATGCTCATTTTTCCAGTTGTTTGCTCTTTGGCCTTGTCCTTGCCGAGGGAATTTTGTAGATTGGTTGGAGTGTGACGGTGCAAAGTCTAACACAGGTAGGCCTGACAAAGCAGGACTAACTTTGCAGGACCTAAACCACTGTGTTTTCTCTTACACACTGAGCTCATCTACCTAATTAGCTCTTTGGCTGTAACTGTGCCTTGTCCTTGTGTGTGTTTAACATGTGTTTAGTCAATAAGGGCTTTTCTCCATAGAATTATTCCTGGTGTGGCATGCCCAGAGCACAGACCCCTGGGTTTAAGATCATTTCTTAAGTGATAGGACAAGGGCTGATGGTTTTAAACTGAAGGAGGGTTGATTAAGGTTAGAATTAAGGAAGAAGTTTTACAATGAGGGTGGTGAAACAACCACCAGCCTTTGAGTAACTGGGCTTTTAACAACCTGGTTTAGAGGAAGGTGTCCCTGCCCATGGCAGGGGATTGGAATGAGGTGATTTTTAAGGTCCAATCCAGGCCATTCCATGATTCTGTGAACTCAGTTATACAGAAACATCACCCTGTGATGTTTAAGGAAGGGCATAAAAGACCACCACAGTCTGAAGAGAACTAAGGCTGTGACGAGGAGATGGAGACTGGAAAAAATCTTGGGGAATAGAAATGATCTTTGGTTGTCAGGACATTCATTAGCATTCCTTATTTAGCAGCAGAATCGTAGCTTAGAGATAATTTTCAAAAAAAAAAAAAAGAGTTATTTAAAGAATCCATCCAGCCCAAATCTATGACTTAACACCTGTCACTATAAAAGCAGTACAGAGGGGACCAGATCTCCTTAAGGGATGAACCTCCCTCCTATTAAATACAGGGAGATTTCATAGCCCACCTAAAACCTCCCCTCTTTCAGCTTGAATCCATTCTCCTTTGTTGTGTCACTGCTCTTGGAAAAAGGCCTTACCCACCTTTCTTGCTGGCTCCTTCAGGCACTGGAAGGCCACAATTAGGTCACCCTGAAGCTTCTCTTGTCTGAACAATCCCAGTTCTCTCAGCCTTTCCTCACAGCAGAGCTGCCCCATCCCTCTGATCATCTTGCTGCCTCCTCTGGGCTCTCTCCAGCAGCTCCACATCCTCCCTGTGCTGGGGACCCCAGAGCTCAGGGGGTTTAAAGCTCTGCTGCAGGTGATGGACAAAGGTGGGGGATGTCTCTTCCTCAAAACACTGTAACAGAAAGAGAAACCTGGGAAGGATGGATGGAAATCTCACCCAGCAGTCCAGTGTCCTGAAATGCCTGTTCTGAGACTGCTTGTGAATTGTCCTGGAGCTGATTCCTCCATGTCCATGAAGGACATCTCTGGGAAGCAGAGCCTGATCTGTCTTGGGGGAAAATTCCAATGGCCACAGGCTGGAGAGACTTGTCCATTGCTTGGACAAGTGTGTGGATAATGGAATATGTTAATGCTGCTCCTTGTCCTCTGGATGTCTTTGCTGTAATCCCATCTATGACTGATGGTAAAACCCTCAAACCAACCATTTTGAGCCATCAAAGCCTATGTACAGAAAAAAATAATTATTGCAGGAGACCCTCCCAGTCCAGCCTGATCATATTTAGCAATCACAGCCTTGATCTTAGACAAGCTGAGCATGAATCTGGAGTCTCTCCTTGTGCTCCAGTGAGGATTCTCTGCTTCTACACTGGTGTAAATGAGATCAAAATCAGAGCCTAATCTGTCCTGGGGGAAGATTCCAGTGGCCATAGGCTGGATATGCTTGTCCACTGCTGCCTGCTTGGGATGGTGGGTGGATATCTTAATGGTGCTCCAACCCTCCTGCTTCTTGTCCTCTGGATGTCTTTGCTGTAATCCCATCTATGACTGATGGTAAAGCCCTCAAACCAACCATTTTGAGCCCTCAAAGGAAAATAATGATTCCAGGAGACCCTCCCAGTCCAGCCTGATTATATTTAGCAATCACAGACTTGATCTGAGGCAAGCTGAGCACGAATCTGGAGCCTTTCCACGTGCTCCAGCGAGGATTCTCTGCTTTCACGCTGGTGTAAATGAGATCAAAATCTGGCTGTTTCTCCAAGATGGCCGGAGAGAGCGTGAATGAAATCCCCGGCAAAAATAGAGCCTCGCTTCAGAAACGAGCCCCCCTGGCTGGCAAGGCTCGTCAGGGAACTGGAGCTACTGAAAAATGCTGCAGACAGAAAATGAATTAGAGGAGAAAAAAAAAGTGAAAATGAGCTGGCAGAATCTTTAGGTGACTCATCAGGTGCATCTTGTAAAGTCTCTTTCTGAGAAGTAATGAAATCGCGTGTTCTAACAATATTTGCACTGCAGCGGGAAAAGGCATAAATATTGGGATCAATTAATGAAATTAGATAATTTGACCAAAAAAGCCCTGGAGCTGGCTGGGAAACCATCCCTCTTCCTTTTTGCTTGTGTCAGTGCTTGCTTGCTGGAGAGGAAAATCCCGTGGTTTCGTTTCACACTGAGGAGAAGCGAGTTCTGGGCAGCCACTGGGATACACTGGGAATTCACCTGCGCCTCAGGGAGTTCCACCTTCACCCCATGGAAGTTCTCAGGCAGGTGCAGAAAAGCCCTGGGAGCTGTCTGGGTGTGCAGCCTCCCACCCTTGGGATTTTCGGATTGATGAAGGTGGACCCTTCTTGTCTCTGTTTCTCTTCATGTCCTTCAACCTCTGCTTTCCAACGGGAAAATGGGGAATAATGGTTTTCTTTAAAAGGGAATTTTTCCTCAGGAAAAAGCCTGTGGGTATGTGACCTTTAGATACCCCAGCAGCTCATTGCTCATGGTGGAGTTCATCACGGAGCCTCAGTTCTGGGGTGAGAGATGACTTTGGAGTGGAATATCGGGGTCGCTGCTATCAATGGGTCAATTACTCTATTTATAATGGAGTAATTGTGCTGTTTGTGATACATTAATTACTTTATTCCACCAGTATTTCCATGGATTTATATTTGGGGAAGGCACTAAACCTCAGGTGAAGATTGGGGCTTAATGAATCCCCTAAAAATGATGAGCTCTGGAGCATGAATGTCTATCATGCAATAAAAACCCAGCACTTGGGTCGGGATTTTGGTGGGGAATCATGAGCTCCCCGAGCCAAAAAGAGCCATCACCATCTTCAGCTTTATCAGCAGCAAGAGCAGAACCCATCAGGTTATCCTGCCCTTGGATTGGCTGCGGGACAATTGTTGTTGGAATAATTTGTCTGGTTTCTGGCGTCCTCGACTCGAGAGGATGTTGACAAATTGGAAAGATGTAAAAGAGCCACGAGGGTGGTTAAAAGATTGGCAAACGTGCCTTGCCAAGGGAACAGCTCCTGGCTTGCAGCAGTTTTGTATTTTTTTTTTTTTTCCCTGTAAATGAAGGTTAAAGGGTGGTTTTAGCAACTCCAAGTACCTGTGGGAAGAGCAAAAATAGACGGTGGTTGTCAGACAGAGGTGGAACACGCGCCGGTGCCGGGGAGATGAAGCCAGACTTGAGCTGAACAGAACAGTTTTTAAGAGAAAAAACGATGTTCTGGTGGGATATTTTATAGGAGTTTTGGTTTTTCACCCATCTCCAGAATTATCTGTTGTGGTATTTCAGGGTGCTGGATTTTCATCCTAGTCTAGAATCACATACATCAACGTTTATTTGATCTTGGAGGTTGTAATTTGCATCTCGGTGTAATTCTTGGAGGAAAAACCTCTGCCTTTATTAACTGTGGGTTTATGTGTATTCCAGAGCATCTCTTGGTGTTGTGGATCTACTCATTAGCCCTCATGTAGGATGTTTCTTCCTCAGGGCTCATTGATCTCCATGATCTGAGTCGGATCGGAGTATTTTGATGCTCTCACGAAGCAACAGTCAGAGCTAAAATGACTTTTTTTTTTCCTCTCCACGAGCATTTTTCGGTGCATTTGCCCTGCAAAGAATGAAAACCAGTGCTGCTTATTCTGTTTATTCTGAACCCAGCTTTCATTTGAAGAGACCCCTGCAGGGATTGCTGCACCTTTGTTCCCTGGAAGCCTCGATTTCCGCAGGAAGCTCATCCAAGGAGGGGCTGTGCTAAATTTACCTTGAGATCTACGTGTGGCAGAGAATTTTTGATTTGTAAAGCTCATCTCGGAATGGGAACTCTGGCTGTTGTTGTTCTTTCTTCCCAACATAATTCAGTGCAAATAAAACATTGTCTCTGCCTTGCTAGTCTCACTGTCCACGCAGATTCAAGGAGCTCGGGGTGTGTGAAGGGTCTTTAAAAACACCCTGCAAGGATGCAGAAAATGAGTGTTTCATACCTACTCCTCACATTCATTTACTCCAAGATGAATATTTGGGGTTTGGGGTAAAACTACATGTTTGTTTGGTTTGTTTGTTTGTTTGTTTGTTTTTTAATTTAATATTCTCTTTTCTTTTTCTAGCTGTGGGGAGCTCAAAAAATCAAGCAGGTAATACACTTTTTGAATATTTCCTGATTATTTTCAACTCTTGCTGCTTTTTTCCCTTTTTCCCTAAGCTTTTCCCCTTTTTCCTCTTCTCCGTTATTCCCTTTGCCAGTTGCTGTTTTGCCTTGCCATGGAAATGTAAATGCAGAGAACACTCTGCCACCAAAGAGCCGGAGTTGTTTTTTTTATATATATATATTTATATATTTTGATGTCTTCATTTTCTCCTTCCTGTCTAGTCAAGAGATTTCTTGTCTCCAGTCTTTTGAAAATAGTTTGACAGTTCTTTGGGAAGGCTCATGGCTGTGCCTTCCTCCTCTCCAATCCTGGATCCTTTGGGAATTGATTTTTCATCCCCAGCCATTTAATGCCAGTGCAGCCCCCTGGGCTCGCTGGAAAATTTGGGTAAAAAATGGGCCAAATGAGCCAGATTTAGGATTTCCATGGAGTTTGGGCTGTCCAGAGCCACCTCAGTTGGCTGAGGAGCTGTGGATACACAGAAAGGTTGGATTATCTGGCAAATCCAAATCCCATGTGGGATTTTGTTTGGATGCCTCTTATGGTGACATCCAAGGTGGGCCATACCCGTATGTTTTTATCCCAAATCATCCTGAAGAAGCATTTCAGGCTTCCTACAGCACCTGCAGGTGTGGGAGATGTTCCTCAGATCAAATCCACACCTGGAAATGTGGGAGATGTTCCTCAGACTGAATCCATCCCTCATGGCTGGGCCACCCCAGTCCTGGTGGGTTTCTCCTGTGACCCATTTGCTTCAGGAGCAGAATAAAGTGATTTATATCCTCATTCCCCCCCAAGAAAACAGCCCTGCCCTGCCCACCCCTCTGCCACACCTTTCCTGTGGCAGAGATTCAGCCAGGACGTTGATCTGCACCTCAGTGGAGATGCTGAAAAGAGGCAGGGCCAGAAAACAGTTTGCCTTTTCCCCTCCTAAATCTGCATTTCCCCTGCTGGGGTTAAGATACAGTGCTGGGTGGCCTTTGGGGACATTATAGAACCAAGAAAGAGCCACTCTTTGTATTTCAGGTTGAATTATTTGCTTCTGAATGATTAATTTGTGCTAAATTATTCCAGGCCATCATCCATCCCGACACCAACGAGACCATCTTCATGCCTTTCCGAATGTCAGGTATGGTTTGTGCCATTAATTTTACTGGGAATTTGTACAAAATGTTGGGGGCTTTTCTCCTCTTTTTGAATTGAATGTTGTGAACATTTAGACCAAGATCAGAAAGTAATTCCAACACCAAAATCCCTTTGCAAGCGAGGAATATGAGGATCATAATTGTCTCTGAGAGATCTAGTGCTTAATAATTCCCTTCCCTTCCCTTCCCTTCCCTTCCCTTCCCTTCCCTTCCCTTCCCTTCCCTTCCCTTCCCTTCCCTTCCCTTCCTTTCCCAAACCTTCCCAAACCTTCCCTTCCCAAACCTTCCCTTCCCAAACCTTCCCTTCCCAAACCTTCCCAAATCTTCCCAACCTTCCCAAACCTTCCCAAACCTTTCCAAACCTTCCCTTCCCTTTTCCCATTTCTTCTTCCTTTCCTTTCCTCTCCTTATTTCCTTAACATTTCCTCCTTTCCCCATGAGGAAGAGAGTGAATTCCTATTCCAACATGGACTCAAGGCAGTGCCTTTTCCAGCATTTTTGGGGTTTCTGTCACTATTTAGGGCATTTCAATTTTGTAGGAAATGCCAGAACCTCATGCCCATATATGATGTTCAATGCATGGGATGAGCCCTCTTTTTTCCACGTGTGATGACACCTCACAGCCATGGCACTGGAATTCCAGGGAGGATCAACTTCTCCATGGCTTAGCTGGGCTGCCATTCACGAGTCCACAGCTGCCTGTGCTGTGGGTTGATCACGGTGGTGAATCCCTCCTCTCCCAAGGGATCTATTTAAACAAACAGAACCTTGCCCATATTTTCTGGTGGAGCATCTTCTGCTGAACACGGGGCACAGGGGAAAGAAATCACAGGGTTGGTGGGTTTTGTCCTCCAGTTCCTTGAAGAAGGATGATGGTGAGGGTGGAGAGAACCCAGGACCCACAGCTTTGCTGCCTTGCTCAGTATTTGTCTTTTCAGCTTCTCTTCCTCTCAGGTCTCTGCCCTTTCCTTGGCTCCATGATGGTTTAATTCAGTAATATTGGAAAAATGCTCCGAGACCTTCTAGTGGAAGTCAGAGAGATGAATTATAATTAGCACAGAAATTGGCAGGCTTAGCGGGGGAAAAATGTGAAGAAATGTTTGATTTTCGTGGTGCTCAGCAAGGTCTGGGGTAAAGACTTGTCTCTGTATTAGAGAGCTTTAACCCCTACCTGGGATTAAAATAGTCCCTCTCTCCTCTATGATGAAAATACACTTTATTCACCATATACCCCCATCCTTTTTCACCTCACCTCGAAATAAATGAGCTCTCCTGGTATAAAACCACCAGTGGAGAGGTGGATAAAGCAGATGGTGAAAGAGGGAGGTCCCACTTAGGTTGTCCTGCTCCTTACCTGGGATGGGCTCTGCAGCTTCTTAGGTGGCTTCATGAGCACCTTCAGGATGCTATTCCTGCTGGGAGCAGGCTCAGCAGGAGGGGAAGGGGCACAGAGAGCTGCAGAGTTTTCTGCTGGGTTGGGGGAGGTTGTGGGAGGGTCTGGTGAGCAACAGAGCTGGCACGAGGGAGGGAACAGATTGCCTGAGCCTGGGAAGGGGGGCAGGATCTCCCTTTTTCCATGGCAGGAATCCACTGGGTCAGCTCAGTCAGCGCCGCCACGGCAGGATCCAGCTCCTCCAGGTCCCAGTGGAGCAGGTCCAGCTCTGAGCTGCCTATCCCTGTGCCTTGCTGATGGGAGATGGGGCTGCCCAGAACAGCACAACAACACCCTCTCAAGTTCCAGCAGGCCCAGGCTGGGTTTACTGGAGTCACCTTTTCCATCGAGAGGGTTGAAGCTCTAGGGAGACTCTCAGAACCCAGGAAAAGCAAATAAAGGATGGGGAGGAGATGGGACAGAAACCAGGAGGATGCTCCAGTTGTTGTAGGTCCCAGATGTCCCTGGGTGAGGTGGAGGTGCTGAAGTGAGAGCAGCTCATCATGCCAGGTGTGGCTTCTTCCCTAAACTGAGACATGTCTTAGATGGGATTTTTTTTTCCCTCCCAAAAATCACATATTAAAACTCATTAAGCTCTTTTTTCTTCATAGGTTACATTCCTTTTGGAACACCCATCGTAAGTATTTTAACATCTCTCCCCGCTTTGTTTGTGAGCACCAAGAAATGCATTTTTTAGCACGCAATTCTCCACATTCCACCTTATCACCTCGTGACATGTTCCCACAGGATTCCCACCTTTCCCACTTCATGTTAACAAGGGTTTAATCATGTAAAACCCACCCTCTGGTTGAGGTTCTTTATCTACTATTGAGGTTATTTATCTATTAATATATTGAGGTTATCTATCTATTATATATGAGATTATTTATCTATTAACCCAACTTCTGCTTGAGGTTATTTATCTATTAATATATTAAGCTTATTTAATATGAGGTTATTTATCTATTATAGATGAGGTTATTTACCTCCTAACCCAACCTCTGTTTGAGGTTCTTTATCTATTAATATATTAAGGTTATTTATCTGTTCTGTATCAGGTTCTTTATCTCTTAACCCAACCTCTGCTTGAGGTTCTTTATCTGTTCAACCTCGTTCCCCCAACCTCCTCCAACATCCTCATCTTTCCCTCTGGAGAGGGAAGACCAAGCTGAGCTCATTGCCTGCAAAATGCAACTCCTGCAAGTCTCAGATTTCAGCTTTGGACACTTTTATTTCTCATTTACATGATTTACAAGTCTCTTCCCAAACATGACGAGCTCCGGCACGGCGGGGCCGGTGTCGTGCGCTCCCGTCTTGGTTAATTAAATCCCTGAGCGTTTTCCTGGGGTTATTCCTGAGGGTGTTGGGAGTTTGTGCTTGTTGTTGTGAGATTCGTAAGGCTTTGGGTGCTCTCGATAGAAAAAGGGAGATGATTCTGCCTGTTCTGCTCCTGCTGAAACCTCAGCTCGTCTCCGGGAACGGGAGTGGTTCATTAACCCCATTTTTGTGGGAACGGGGAAACTGAGGCTCAGAGTTTTGCCCCAGAAATTTGGTGTCGGGAGGCGGTCGATTCTCAAAGCCACCAGCTCGTGGTTCAGCTTTTTAGATCACACATTAAAATGGTTCAAAGAGCAAGACACGCTAAATTTAGTCTTAGACCCCAGTGGACCGTGGCTTAGACTTGGTGAAAGGTAACAACCTTTTCCCGAGGTGATAACGACGGTGATAACGAGGTTGGAAGTCCTAAAAACAGGGATCATCACGGCTGTTGCTATTTGTTGTGGTGCTTAAAGGTTTGGTGGCAACTTTGTATGGGGCATTTTAAAAGAAAAGGTTAAACAAAAATGAGTTAACGATCAAATTGACAATGAAATCGGCCCAAATCCAGAGCTGTCAGAGGAGCCGAGAGCTGTCAGATGAGCCCAATTTCACTATCTGTAAAGGATAAACTGGAACCTCTTGTCATTTAAAAAAAAAAAAAAAAAAAAAAAAAAAAAAAGGAAAAAAAAAACCCAAACGTTTCAAATGTTAAAATTAAAATGTAACATTTATGCCAATCGATCTGTGAAATTTAGTGACAAAATTGGCAGCCTGCTCCAGCATAAAAACAGTTTGAGTCTTGTATTTCACAGAGGGGGGGATGGGATTTCCTCAAGAGAGGCTGTGCTGGGCTCGGGCTGAGCCCGTCCTTGCCCACAGAGCCCTGCTGGTGTTGGGGGTCAACTGAACCCCCACCCCGGAGACGTGATCGGGCTGGGTATGAGCAGGTTTAGGGCCCATCAGTCGATACACATCCGCTGGCTGTGCCCGGGGGGGGTTTATTCACACCCCCCCCCCTCCTCTTCGGTAGCCGATGCAAAATAATTCAGTCTGGTTGAGCTCATTGTGAAAGAGATTAAGGGTCTTGTTAAAATAATCGTTTCTTTTCTGGCCCCGGCGGCAGCTCCCCTGACACCACCAAATCCTGTTTGCTCTTCCCTCGCTTACAGCTGTTTGCTTTTCCCTTCAGCCTCCGTCCCTTTTCCGTGCCGGGCTCGGGGATTGACCCCAGGATCGCCTGCGGTGGCAGAGCGGGGGGACAGGATGGGGATGTCAATGTAGGGAGAGTCTGGCTTTACCCATTTTACCCATTTTCAGCCCAGGAGGGAGCAAATCCAGCCGCTGGAATTACCTCCCTGCGCTGGAAAGGGGTGAGATGTGCCAAGCAGCTGCTGGGCTGGAGCCTTTTCCCCTGGGTTTGTGTTTCCTCCTCCGAGGGGAGGAAGATTTGCCCGGGTTTAGGAAATTCAGCCTCAAATCCGGGTGGTGAAGACGGAGCAGACGCCCCAGCTGTGCCCAGCTGCGGCTTTCAGCTCCTTATTTTCCTCGTCCATTTAAAACCGGGAGGGTCCTGATGGGGTTTTAAGGTGCCCTTGAAGACCCAGGTTAATTTAGGGGTGAGATGACTCTCGGATTTGGGGTCTGGAATAGAAGAGCTCGGGCTGCTCAGAGCTGACAGATGTCCAAGCCCTGGCTTTGGGGCCGTAAAGGGACATTCACACCTCATCACCAATTAAATTTTGTCGCCGGTACTGGTGTTTAGAACCCTTTTTTTTTTTTTTCCCTCCCTGTATTTTGTTTTCCTTCTTAGTTATTTTTTCCCCTGACAGTAATTAAAAGTGAAATTGTACATTTCTTGACAGACTCTTGCACATATGGAGAGTTTGCATTTAAACGTGCCTCTTTCAGTCATACAGATTTTGGGTGCTCTTTTTTATTTATTTATTTTCCTCCATGTATTTTTTTTTCTTTTTTTCTTTTTTTTTCCCCTCTTCTTCCCCCCTCGGCTCTCAGCCTTCAGCTGACAATGTGAGTCCCTGCCTGGCGTCTTCCCGCTCCTCCAGAGCCTCATTATCCCGCTGGCTTCAGGGGGAAAGTCACTCCTGGGGGTGAGGAGGTTCCTCGCCTGTTGAATTCGTTTGGCTGCGAGCGGCGACGGAGTAATTAATGACGAGCTCTGGGCGCTGAATGGAAGCGGTAAATTAGTGTAACTTGCACAGGTTGGCGCTCGGCCAACGCACAAAAAAGTAGCTGCAACTTCACCAAAGGCTGGAGGAGGAAAAGCTGCAGCAGCAGGAGGAGGAGGAGGAGGAGGAGGAGGAGGAGGAGAAAGGAAAGATGCAAACGAAATCAGGCCGCCCAACCCCGCCACCCTTTTGTTCGGTGGCATTTCTCCTTCCCAAGGGAGGGTCGAAGTTGCCTCCTCTTCAACTGATGCTGCTGCAGATGTGCAGCTCGAGCTCAGCCTTGCTCTCGGGGCTCCGACGGCGACGGGGAAGTTTTCTGGCAGGGTTTTGTGGGTTTTTTTGTTTTTTTTTTTTTTAAGGACTGAAGTGAAAGGAAAAGTGGTGGAGAAGATGGGCTGAGGGTGGGGATGAGCTCACAGCCTTCTTGCCCAGACGCCTCGGAGACGTGAGTGTCCTGAAAATAAACGTGTTTGGAATTAGAAGGAGTTTGCTCAGTCTTTGTACTCCTTGTGGTTTTGCAACAGTCTTCTTCAGAAAATAGCAGGCATTTAAGGCACAGGAGGGGATAAAATGACAGTGACGTTAGGAAGTATCTCATCTTACCTGTCTCTTACCCAAGAGCCCGTCGTCCTGTCCATGTTTTTTGGGTTTATCGTTGGGAGTCCCCTTGCTTTGCATACCTTTCCTCTCCTTCAACATCTCAGGCTCTGAAAGGAAAAAAATTGCCATAAAATAGGAGGGAAAAATGGCCACGAAGCAGGAAAAAATGCCGTAAAACAGGAAACAGTGCCATAAAACAAGGCAGGTTGTGTGTCAGAGATGGGTCTTTAGAGGATTGCGGAGGGTGTGTCCATGTGGTGGAGCGAGACACGTCCCAAGGACAGGAAAAATACACCTGTGAGACCTCAGATGGGTGAGCTTGCAAAGCCTGTGGCATCGCCGTTCAGGCAGCAGCCGGGAACATCTGGCCAGATGTGCTGGGACAAGCTGCTGGGAGCCTCTGGGAGACGGTGATCGTCACCCCGAGCTCCTAACCCGGGCAGGAGTTTTCACAGCTCGGGATATGACACATCAACAAGGCTCTCGAAACAAAATCCAGGCTCCCAAACGGGAGCACATGTGCTTCCAGGTGGCATTCCTGTCCTCAGATGTTCAAACGGGATTTCTTTCTTGTGCTTCGAACCGGGGAACGTGCCAAAGGAAAATCGGAAACCCCCTCCCCCGTTCGCTGCCAGTAGTGACAACTTTGAACTCTCGCCTTCAGGCAATGTTTGTGTTTTCCTCCAGAAATACCTGGATGGAGGAACTGGTGGTGTTTTAACGACCTGATCTTTGCTGCCAGAGTATTTCCAAGGTGTATTACAAGCAGTAATCAAAGATGCAAAGCTTTCATGGGCAGCTTTGCATCACCCGTTTTCTTTCACCACTGGAAAACTGAGGAGCCAGAGGCTGATGGGAAGTTCAATAACTAAAATTAAATAAAGCCATAAATGAAGATAATTTATTCAAGCCTAGAAATAAGCTCGGCTGTTTGCACGCCTGGGGAGAGCACTGAGAGCAAACCAAAAGAGCGTTTACTGATGGGGAAAAATCTCTTCTCTTTGCAGGTTGTTGGTCTCCTCTTGCCCAACCAGACGCTGGCATCCACTGTGTTTTGGCAGGTAACACCTGCTGGGATGGGTGGGGAATGTGGGGGAGATGAAAGTGGAATTTTCCCTGGAGGACAAGTTGATGCACGTGGCTGTTCTGCTCTGGTCATGATTTAGTGGGAGGATGTGGTTGGATATGATTAGGGAAGGGTTTGGTAAGCCTGGAAAGGACTATAAACCAGCTCTTGGGTCCATTTTTATCCCACAACTACTTTTGCCATCACAGTGGAAGAGGCAGAATGGTCCAAAAAATTTAAAATCAGCCTTTTGAACCCGTTTCGTACAGGTGTAAATGTAAACAAAAAGAAAATTTTGGCACATCTGCTGATTTGAGGACACCCTGTCACGTAGTTTGGATCTTCCCTGGTGAATTCCCCTTGGGAGTGCAACATCTGTGCAGGGCTAGGGAACAGCTGGGCCCTGCAAAGCCGAGGACCTCTGGTGTTCAGTTTGCTGCAGGAGCTTTGGGAAAAAACAGTCTGTGTGTAGGGAGGTGCTGGTGTAATTTCCCACTAAAATTCTGGGAATCAGGAGCACGGGGAGGAGGTGTGCACGTGAATGAGTTACATCCATAGTAAACACGCCACTCCAGTGCGATTTCAGCGCTCGCTGAGACGAAGGAACAAGTTATTTTCAGACTTAATTTTCGGTGGTGGATGTCTTTTTATTGTCTGCAGCGTAAGTGATGATAGGGAATTGTGGCAGTTAAGGAACATCAAAGCAGGGTGGGATGTGCCTGGTGTGTTAAAAGCACGGCAGAGCTGAGAATCCATCGGAACGTCCCGTGTGGTTTCACCTGCTGGGAGTGGGAGAGTGGCTGGAGGCATCCTGACTCATCCAGGGTTTTGCAGGCAGCTCCCCCCACCTGTTTTTAGACAGCTGTGTTGGAATCACAGAATGGTTTGGGTTGGAAGGGACCTGAAAGACCACCTCGTTCCAACCCCCTGCCACGGGCAGGGACACCTTCCACCAGCCCAGGTTACTCCAACCTGGCCTTGGACACTTCCAGGGATGGGACAGCCACAGCTTCTCTGTTCCAATGCCATCTGTATCCATAAGCTGGTACATCTGCTCATCTCCTGTTCCTCAGCTGAAGCCTCTGTTTGGGAAACTTGGAGCTTAATAAGTGGCTGATGAAACGGCTGCTGGGCTTCCTGCTCCATCCTGACAACGGGATGGATTTGATGCTTGGACATGAGGAAGAATTTCTTCACAGAAAGGCTGATTAGACATTGGTAGGGGCTGCCCAGGGAGCCAGCAGAGTCCCCATCCCTGGAGGTGTCCAAGGAATGACTGGACGTGGCACTCAGTGCTCTGGGCTGGGGGGCAAGGTGGGGATGGGGCACAGGTTGGACTCGATGATCCCAGAGGTCTTTTCCAACCCAAGTGATTCTGTGATTCCATGAAAATAAAAGACCAATAGCACTGAGGTGTCATGTGGACGTGGATTGGGCCAGCAGAGGAGTTGCACATCAAGCTCCCAGGCAATCAGAACTGCCCTCTGGGCAAAACCGCAACAGGGCCCGAAGGGAGATGGATTTCCCCTTAAAACTCGCACATTTACAGCTCCATTTATTTTCCCTGAAGTCCTGCTGACGCCCGTCTCCCCCTTGTTCCCTCTCTAGTGGTTGAACCAGAGCCACAACGCCTGCGTCAACTATGCAAACCGCAACGCGACAAAGGTGAGGAGGCCCAGCATATGTGGCGCGTCAGGGCTGTTTTGACACGGAAACAGAAGTCCTGTCTCTTCCCTGCTAACGGAGAAACTCCGTGAGGGATTTACAGCTCGGCCATTCTCCCGCGTGGGCTCCCAGTGGAACCCCCAGCTGGGAGTGGCACGAGGGTCTGGCCGTGGCTGGAGGCTCATTAGTGATGCTCTGAGCCCAGGCTGGGGTGGGAGGGCTTAATTGGTGTGCAAATGAGCACAAAGCTGAGTAGTATCAGTGTTTTTGGGCAGGACAAGGTGTGTCTCCATGAGCACCCTGCTGGCTCCCCAGGGCTTCATCTGCGCTGCCAGGGAGTGGAGGGGCTGCTCCCGCTCTCTTCCTCCTCCTCAGCCTTCATTCATCCCATGTCAGGATGTGGGAAGCCGAGCTGGAAACCGTCCAGCTCGCTGAGATAACATTTCAAAGACAAAATATTTAATGTGGCGAGTTTGGGGTTCAGCACTAGAGGGTAAAAATGCTAATTTGGTACCATTTGCTGAATTTCGTTCCCATCCTTCCTTTGAGCTGCTATTATTGTAATTTTCTGATGCCAATTAATTTTCCTTTCCCTTTAACCTCGCCCATGAGGCCACTGTTTCCCTCGCTTTTGCCTCTGCTTGCTGACAGACCATGTGTCACAGAACAATATGACAAAATTCAACCTGTCTGTGCTTTAAGACAAATAAAACCAAAACAAACCAAAAAAAAAACAACAAACAAAAAAAACCCAAACAAATGAAAAAAACTTGGTTGCGTTTTAATAACCAGAAGTTTGTTTATGGAAAATATGTTTTGTTTTTTTTCTTTCCAAAGCCTTCTCCGACATCCAAGTTCATCCAGGGCTACTTGGGAGCTGTCATAAGTGCTGTCTCAATAGCAGTGGGTAACTCTTTATATCTCTTTATTTTCATGACTTGCCGCGGTGCTTTGGAGATGCTTGTTTGGGCTGCCAAGCATGTTTTTGTCTTTTAATTGGCAGAATTCAGTCTTTATAACCAGAAACACTGTAACCCTGAGGTGTGTCTGTCCATGCATGCCAAAGCTTTTCACCAGAGGGAGACTTCTATGTGCTTCCAGAACTCCCTGCCCTGTGGCTTTGCTGCTCCGTGAGCTCAAATTATCAAATTATCCATTAACTGGGGGTGAATTTGCCTATTCCAAATTGAAAGGGACACTTTGAGGCTGCAGGGTGGTGGTGTGGCAGCTGAGGTGCTGAAGAGAGGCAGGACTCTGGAGATGTTCCCCTGGTGGGTTGGCACCTCAATCCACGGTGCTCGGAATTGCATCTTCCACCTGGGGACATTTTTCAAGCTGGAAATGGTGCTCAGATCTTATTGAGGAATCATGGAGTGGTTTGGGTTGGAAGGGACCTTAAAGATCATCCAGTCTCACCCCCTGCCATGGGCAGGGGCACCTTCCACTAGCCCAGGTTGCTCCAACCTGGCCTTGGACACTTCCAGGGATCCAGGGGCAGCCACAGCTTCTCTGCCCAGCCTGTGCCAGGGCCTCCTCACCCTCCCAGCCAGCAATTCCTTCCCAATATCCCATCTCTCCCACTCTCTGGCAGTGGGAAGCCATTCCCTGTGTGCTGTCCCTCCAGGCCTTGTCCCCAGTCCCTCTCCAGCTCTCCTGGAGCCCCTTTAGGCCCTGCCAGGGGCTCTCAGGTCTCCCTGGAGCCTTCTCTTCTCCAGGGGAACCCCCCCAGCTCTCCCAGCCTGGCTCCAGAGCAGAGGGGCTCCAGTCCTTGGAGCCTGTGGCCTCCTCTGAAGTCATATCTGAAGTAACCTGTGGGAGAGGAGCTTTAAACATCATTAAATTCATTGTCTTGTGACTTTTAACACTCCTATTTCCCAGTAGCACAAGTTGACATTGGTAGCAGGGTCAGCTCATTCCCAAAGGGACAGGGACATTTCTCAGGAAAAGTCAGGGAAGTTATTTCTTACATCAGGTTTTCAAGTAAGCCTCTGAAGTAAATGGTTGTACCTTTCCTGCTGGAACATTAAGGATCCCACAGCAAATACCAAAAAATGATATTTCCCCCCCTTGGCCAAGATTTTTTCCTTTTCTTAAGCCACAGAAAGTTTGATTTTACCTCTTGTGCAGCTGCCAGACAACTTTGCAGAGGGTGCAGAGTTGTTGAAGTGCCTTGAGGTTTGGAGGGGGGACTGTCTATTTTGTTGGATGCACATCTGCTGGATAATTTTCCATGTTTCTGGCTTGGCCTGCTCTGTATCCCCCCTGTTACCCCTTCACTGCAGAATTAACCCTGCACAGCCCAGCTCGGTGTCGGTGTGAGCTCCCACACCCCATGGAGCTGTCCCCACACCAATCCACGCTTTTCCAGCTGAAGTATAACCCAAATCCCCATCCCACCAACCTCAGTGCTTCAGTTAGCAGCTGTTTTCCATCCACAGCCTCCATGGGAGAGCTCAACTGTCCCCCTCAGTCCTCAGCTCAGCATTTTTCCCACCCCGTGAACGACTAAAGCGAAGTTCTCCGGCTTGATGTGCTGCTGCCACTCACAGCCTGCCTTCCAACCCCCCCAGCACGGCCCCAGTGATGAAAATTCTACCTTGTTGGCATTAATGCTCCTCTCCATTTCGGCAACAGGGGCAGATTAGAGGGGCAGGAGACCTGGAGGAGTGATGTTGGCAGAGTTTTGGCACCCTGAGGAGCTTTGGTAAGGAAACCGCTTTGGGAGGTGTCCGTGTTGGGACAGCTGGTGCAGGTTCTTGGAAATCTTCGGTTCCTCCAAGGCTGACTCAGATCCTGCGAAGAAGTTGAAGCAGAACAACATGTTCGAAGTGCAGGAGGGGCCATCAGTGGTGCTGTGAGAAACCCATGGGAAAAGCAGCATGAGGAGCTCCCCTGAGACTTGCAGATAATAAAATTACAGCCTCATGCAAGGGGAAATCCTCCTGCCAGGGGGTGTTTCTTGTGGCCTTCTTGTAAGTGCCACCATGGCCCCACCTGATCCACTGGGATGCCCTCGGTGCATGTGAAAAGCTCTGGAATAGCAGTGCTTTGTAGCTGCAGTGCCCTGAGGGTCAGAATATTGGTCCAGGGAGGCAGGAACTTTGCAGTGGATGCAGCTGGGGGGTGGAGAAGGGCAAAAGCCTTCGTGGGTCCTTCTTCTTCCTGATGTTGGAAGGAGGGTCTTCTTCCAAGTGGAGCCTTTGGGGACACTCCTGATCTCTGTGTTACTGTGGAATAACTTGTGTCCTCCTCATCCCTGACAGGCACTTAATCCCTGCTCACTTCCCAGCGTGGAGAAAACCCTGCAGAGCAGGGAGGGGTTTTTAGGTGGTAAATACCTGGATTAATAACCGGCGTCTCCTCAAGTGCCAAGTTTGGGTCTTTTGCAAACGGCGACCACGACGACAAATAATAAATAGCCCTGAGGTTCATTACGTGGTGTCCTCAGCCCTCATTAACTGCTCTGTGCTGTCAGTTAGCAACAAATCAGCTCCCAGTGGGAGCCTCCCGTGGGCTGTGGAGAGCCAGGATTAATTAAAGTGAGCCCCTTCCACGTCTGCTGTTGGCAAACGACGCGGGAAGGGACGGAGCAGCTGACGGGGGATTGTCCTTCCCCTCATCCTCACTTGTCTTTTACAAGAGGGACAAGCAAACTGCTTATTCAGGTTTTGGCTTTATGCATCTTGCAATGGGAGAAATGGCAGGAAATCTTTGGAAATAGCCTGATTTTCTTCCTGGTTTAGACAGAGAGGAATCACTGTTGGAAAGGGGCGATGCTTCTCCCTCAGAGCTGCTGCTACATCCACAGCTCCTGATTTCCAGCCCTTCAGGATGAGTCTGAGGAGGAATCAATATTCTTTTACTTGATGTTTTTCAATATTTTCCCCCCAGTACTCCCTTTTCTTTCCACCTACTCCCATGCCCACCTGATTCACACAGAGCTTCGTGCAAGGAAAGCTCTGCTGGGTCCAGAATTTTATTTCTTCTCAGGTGAAGGGAATCACTTGAAGTAAGGCTGGAAAAGATGTTTGGGTTGGAAGAGATCCCAAAAATCACCCAATTCCAACCCCCTGCCATGGGCAGGGACACCTTCTACTAGCCCAGGTTGCTCCAAGCCTCATCCAACCTGGCCTTGGTTCCAGGGATGGAGCAGCCACAGCTTCTCTGGGCTACCTCTAAAATTTCTGGTTCTCCTTCTATGATTATCGTTTATTTTTATCCCATTCTTCCAACATCAGCCTCTTTCCTGCCTTTTCCTTTGACAGCTCCTGTTTTACCTCTGTTCTGAGCGAAAATTGTTATTTTTTTTCCCAAACAATTGAGTGGATTCCTGTGATTAGGCTTTATTTTCTCAGATCTGGCTGCTGTTCCTGGTGGTGGTGTATGAACCTCAATTAATACCAGCTGGTTCTCCTAAACGAGGCAAACAAAGGCAGAGAGGAGTAAAAAAGACTTGAGAAAGACCAAGCGTGTTTTAAATGTTTGGGATTTTTTTTTTTCTGTGCCCCAAAATATTCCAGTGCCAAGAGCTGTGCAGATCAGAGGGTTTGTAATTAGGCAGAAACTCTTTCCAGCTCACACACACACACACACTCTCTTAACTCTGCTATTTTTTTCCCACTTTTAAAAGGTTAAAAAAGCTACAGAAAGCCAATTTTGTTGGTAATGACTGCTTTTTATATGTTATAATTTTATATATATAATAATAATTATTATTATTATTATTTATATATATAAAAATAAGTTTCTTCTGCTCAGAGAAGCTGTGGCTGCCCCTGGATCCCTGGAAGTGTCCAAGGCCAGGTTGGAGCAACCTCAGATAGTGGAAGGTGTCCCTGCCCATAGCAGGGGGTGGCACTGGATGATCCTGAAGGTCCCTTCCATCCCAAACCATTTTAGGATTCTCTTGATTTCAGATCCAAACCTCATTTTCTGTGTCTTTGCTGATCCCTTTTGGTTCTCACCCAGCTCTTCAGTGCTATGACATCAGACTCAGACTTCAGTCTGAGGTCAGAAGGGACTCTTGGGGCTGCCGTGAAATGATTGAGAATTAAATCAGGTCCAGGCAAGGGCTGTGAGCAGCCACTCTCTGGTCTCTGCATTGCCACTGGTGCCCAGACCTTCAAGCTTGGTGACTGCTGGTGTTGACCCAGGGGCTGCCTCACCTGGAGCCTGTGGGGGTGAGTCCTTGGGTTACTCGACGTGTCTCACAGCCGCTGCCTTAAAATCAGATCTTTATCCCTCAGTTTCTCATTTTCCACGATCGTGGCTTCAACTTCTGCCAGGAGCAGCTCCAGACCTTGCACCTTGTGTTACTGGAGACCTTGTGCCAGCTCTCTGAGGGGTCTCCTCTCTCCTGCCAGCCCCACTTGGCCGCGTGTTGTCGCTCAGCTCCCTGCTCAGGTGTCGGCTCCTTTGTCCATCTGTTGTCCACTCCGCGTTCCCTGGAGGTGCCACGTGCATCCATGCTGCTGGCATGGGGCTTTCCTGATGACTGGATGGGCTCTAATTAGGCTGTGGGAAGCCTGGCAGGGACACAGAGTGTGTTTTCTTTATATGGGGTTGTGTAAGTTAACCAGGAAATGTCTCGTGACAGCCGAGGTTTAGGTTGGATCTCAGCAGAAGGTTCTTCCCCCAGAGGGTGGTTGGCACTGCCCAGGCTCCCCAGGGCAGTGGGCACAGCCCCAAGGCTGCCAGAGCTCCAGGAGGGTTGGGATGATCCTCTGGGGCACAGGGTGGGACTCTTGGGGCTGGGCCTGTGCAGGGCTGAGGGTTGGACTGGATGGTCCCTTACAGCTCAGCACATCCTGGGATTCCCCCTTGGGCAGGGCTTCAATTCTCCCCCAGTGAAAGGGAAAGCAAAGACACATATGTGAGATCAGACCTCTCTGATGTGGAGGGAT